TTACATTCCGGTGGAAAGGACGAGGAAATGATGACACCACAGTCCTACGGAACCAGTGGAAGGAATAAACGGAAGCAAAGAAGGGGCGAATCGGTATCTGTACTCAACTCTGCGAGGGAGTCCGTGAAAGACATGAGTTACACACTAGCAAGCCTGAAGGAGGATCAACAGGATCAAAGGGAGCAGAAGAAGGCTCTTCTTCTACTTGATGCTATGGAGCAGAAGAAGGCTCTTCTTCTACTTGATGCTATGGCCCGTCATTTGTTTCTTAACATGGCGAATGACCGAAAACGATGCCTCCTTGTGGAGGTTGGGTTGAGGAGGGCAATGGAAGTGGTTGACGGCTATTCTTTGTTTGTGATATGTTTATGGAACACTTTTCTCGTCCTCATTACATTGGTTCCCTGTTCTAGGGTGATGTCTTGTAGAACATTTGTGTGCTTCCTTGTTAACTATTTGCTTGGATTTCTGTATGTGCATTTTATCATCATTTAATATTTTTGAACTCTCAATTATAATGATTTGTAGGATGTCTTACGTAAACGATAATATTGGATATGACGACATTATGAAGACGGAAGACGAATCGACCGGGCCATTTGAACCATCAAACGATGAGTTTGTTGAAGATATTGTCGAAGATATAGATGTGAAAAGGCGACCATAAAAAATTGCACGAGCAATTAAATTAGGCACTATTTTTGTGTCACATTTAAAAAAAAAATAGTACGACTTATGGAAAGCTCCCCGTCGACATTCGAATGGCGTAAGAGAAAACCCTACCACGAATCAAGCATTACAGGAATATAATGGGTAAACGAGCTTCTAGAGGGGAACCCTACAAGATTTTACGATGCTATGGGTGACGATAAACAAGTTTTCTGCCGGCTATGTGGAGAAATGCGAAGTAGAGGCGTTCATGGCCCTCACAAGCAAAAAAAAGTTTGCATTGAAGAAAGTATTGGTATATTTTTGCACACAATAAAAGGACATCAACGACATAGGCGTTCAGCTGAGACTTTCAGACGATCTAGTGAAACTATTTCAAGACATTGTCATATCAATATGACCGCCCTCGCTGATATGGGCTCGGACTACATTCTACCACCAGACGTGAATCGGGTACCGGCTTGGATACACAATAATAAAAATTTGTATCCGTATTTCAAGGTGACAATGTTTGTGTTATATGATTTTAGTTCTTTCATTCTTCTTGATTAAGCTTTAACTATCATTACTAATAGGATTGCATCGTGCAATTGACGGCACCATCATACTAGCATGGGTTCCCCGTGGTCATCAGGGGGCTTACAGATGCAGAAAAGAATATTTAGCGCAGAACGTCATGGTCGCTTGTGATTTCGACCTGAAGTTCACCTTCGTGTTGGTAGGATGGGAAGGTAGCGCTAATGATGCCCAAATTTTCAAAGATACGCTGTCCAATTCGAGGTATCAATTCCCTTTTCCACCACCGGGTATGTCCGCCATCTCAAATAATCTCTTTTAAATTACACTATGTGAACTTACATTCACTATTTTTTGTGTACTTTTTAACGAAATAAATTTTTTGTTGGTAAATATTATGCTCTCGATTCTGGGTATTCAAACCATCCTGTTTTTTTGGCACCATACTGCGGCGAGAGATATCATCTGCCTGAGTGGGTCGGTTTAAATAGGACCCCAACAAATGCCTGTGAACTATTTAATAAACGGCATGCAGTTGTATGCAATGTCGTCGAACGGTCTTTTGGTATCCTTCAAGTTTCCAATGTTGAAGAATTTAATGTCGAGGCACTCGCTTAAGTCGCAGACGAACATGATTGTGGCTTGTTGTGTTTTAAACAATTTTTTGCTGAGGCATCAAGCAAAGTATACGATACCGGCGCAGTCCTTACAACCCGATTATGTTCCCCAACGTGATGCAGATGATATGATGTTCCCGTTTATGGATAGATTGGATCCCTCGACGGGGGCGAAGAGAAGCAATGTACATTGCGTGATAGAATTGCAACAACTCTGTGGGAGGATCATGTGAACGAAAATCGTTAATTTTATCACTGATCTATTGTTAGTGGGGCCCTGCCTATTTGATTTTACGTTGTGTTTGATGTTCGTGTAACATTTGTGGCATTTACTAGTAATTCAAAATTTCACTTTGAAAGTAGTACCCTTACATGTGCAGTACAAATTTAATTTATAAGTATATATACCGATATTAATAAATACATATATAATTTTATAGGAGATAAATAGCAACTTAAATATTATATTATATTTCAATATATGAATACATTGGATCTCGACAACTTATATATTATATCGTATTTATATATTATATTATATATAGCAACTTATATATTATATTATATTTATATATGTGTTCTTAAATATGTGTGTATATATATGTATGGATAGAATACCCTCATAAACACTTACAAAAAATTTAAGTCTTTCCCGGAAACTAAAACAGATGAAACTGAAGGCCAACAGATTATTTTTGTTCTAAAAAATAATGACATTGAACCTATTTACCTAAATTATATATAAACAACGAAAAATGTCATATATTTTATCCTACCAACTAATTAGGCGAAATGACGTTGGTGAATTATTAATTTTTCTTTGTTTTTGTTTAATATGACTTCTTTCGAATATGAATAGTTTGCCAAATTATATTTCCATGCTGTAGTATGTAAATTGTATGCACATTACATATTATTAAACATACATGTTTAATATATGTGTCTCGTGCATCACCCATGCAATAGAATAGTTTCAACATGACAAATTAATTTCAACCACTAAAAATTATGAAAGGGGACCCATGGCAAGTAGGTGTACCATTCATTTGTCCAATAAATGGACTCACCCACTCCTTCATGTTTCTTTTTCTTTTCTTTATAAATAGACTTGTAACGAGTCCCTGTGGTCACACCACCCAAACAAACATGTTTACATTTATATTGTCAATAAATAAGAGTGAGCACTTTCAATTTGTGCGAGAAGGATTTGCAAATAAATAGAATTCATCTGCCAAGGAATTGTTTTGTGTAATCGTCCAAAGATTCATTCGGACAGAGGGGATGACAATAGAGTCTGATATCCTGGACGCCTTCGAAAATATTCACCAAGCGTGTTTGACAGAACTTGATCCGAATCTCAGCTTCATAGTGTTATGTCACGTTCATGGTCATCAAAGGAAGGTACTGTACTTTTAAATATCCAAGAATGATCCAAAACGATCGATTTTCATTAACGCCTCCTTTTACGCGCCGCCTAGCGCGCCTCCTCGGCCCAGTAGTCGGCCACAATTTGTTCAAAAGTCGGACAATTTGGGTGCCTTTTCCAATACTCTTTGTCCGGGTAGTACAATAAGCTTAAATCGACAAATGTTCTTTTAAGGGTATCCCACATAGGCTCTGGATTATTAAAATAATGTTCTGGTAGTGCCCAGTGCTGTATCAGAAAAGTAATGGAGAAACAACGTGAAGCATGGGAAAATACGTGAACGAATAACTTCTAGGATATTGTTTTATGAAAAATAACCTACACACTAATTTGTACGTCAATTCGAGTTACCTCAATGGCCTTTTCCCGTGTATACCCGTCAACATGTAGGTAATTTTCGTTCACATCCAAAACCACGTTCGGTTCTTTCATCAAACATTTTCTGTGTATTTTCACTTTATGTATTATGTAATGTTTCATGGTTTGCACCTGGGTGTTTAATTTACAAAAATTAATGAAGATTTCTTGAAATAATTCTTGTACCGTTAATTATTTAAAATTATTCAAAAAGGTCTGACTTATCTAAACGAATAATAAATGTCTTTTGTTTTTACGAGAGGTTTTTCCAAATAAGAAAATATTATTCTGTCTTCAATAAAATTAGGTGCTTCTCGACAATTTTTTGTCGTCCGTTTGTACGGTCTAAGTTTTCCTTAAAAGTTTGGACATCATTGTATTCGACATGTTCGTCTTCATCTTCTGTGTGTTCGATGGCTTGGTTTTTTATATTTATTAATATATATTATGGCATATTTATATATTATGCTACGTACGTACATATATATTAGAAATTGCACTTTTTATGCGAGGAGCCGATTATGTTTAAAAGCGATAATGCATTTTCTAATAAGTTCGTATTTCCAAATTCCAGTTTTATATCACTAACAATAACATAAGACAATGTTTTCGAGCACAAACGAAAGTCGGATGTGCTTTGTTCCCAGATATTCCGGATCGAACAACATTATACAAAATGTAAATGAATTTGATAATCCAATAAGTACATGTTTAAAAAATAAAAGTGATACGATAAATAGAAATTAAATTTCCGCTTGATTGCAGAAAGACATATTATTTCGCAAAATTGTTCGTTTAAGCACATATGTATCTTGTCGTTCGATTTGACTGGTATTAAAAGGAATAGCTGTTATCGAACACCTTCGTTCGCGATAATTTGGGGTCGGGAAAAAAACAAAAAACACATAATGCAATACTGATAACAGTAACAGAGCCGATGATGTGCCGACAATATACGTTACACAAAGTGTGGCCCATTCTTATCATATCACCCATGCTGTAAAGGCTGTTGAAATTTTTTTCTTTTTCAGGCTGTTGAAAATTCACGAGTGAGGCCCATTCTATCATCTCACCCATGCTGTGTGTACAACGTGTAAAGCCTATTGAATCTTTTTTTTTGTTTTTTTTNAACCTCTATATCTGTAGCCTCTTTTGTCTATTCACATTGAAAGCATCAGTAATATAGGCGAGATTCCCGGTATAACACGCTAAACTGGAAAAAAAGATTAATAATAATAATAAAAGAAAACTTGTTGTGAAGAAGACGCGGGAAGTAGTGAGAAGACGCGGGAAGTATTGTGACCGTGCATGGTATTCCTCCTATATTAATGACCCTTTTTGTTGTTTCTTTTACTTTCACCAAACCATTAGACCAGTAAAAAAAAATTAATAAGAGAAATTTAAAAAAAAATAATATGGAAGCTCCTTTGTGCTCTTGTGGTAGGGGTCGTATGATCCTTTTAATGACAAGAACTGAAAAAAACTACGAAAAATATTTTTTTGTTGTCCAGCTCGTCAACAACACCACCGGTGTTTCATTTGGGCGGACGATGTTCACCGTCAATATTCTTCACAAGCAAGTCAGAGTACATTCCGGAATGGTCACGGTAATTCGTCACAAACAACTGCAGATTGCGTGCATGCAACAGAATACTCTGAAACCGCTAGCACATGGAAGCGACCAGTGACGAACAGCTCGACGATAACTGATTCGTCATTAATGTTAATCGCGTGCCCGATATGTTGTTTACTTTTATCTTTTGTCCTTGGCATTTTCTGTTGTATAGCCATTGTCAAAATTTTGAGCCTGTAATTCTGGAATTGATTTCATGGTTCTTTGTTTATTGGTTAATTTATTCTAATATATATTCTGCCCATTACTGAACCCCGTTGAAGGTCATGCACTTCATTTTTTATGAATAAAAATTGTCCAGTACGGGTGCAAGGAGGGTCAAAGTTCACAATTTTTTTTTATATTATCATGTTCCAATTATTTGTTGCAATTTATGTCACTCAAAAATTAATCCTGCTACACAAATAATGGAGGGTCCCACTTAATTTGTGTGGAATATCAGATTTCAAACCAGAAACTGTCAGATTATCTCAATAGTGCAAAATCAGATTTAATCCAAGCATACTCTTGATGCGCTTTTTAGGTGTATTAACTTATGCTTCAGATTATATTCATAAATTGGCTAGTATAAGAGCTCCATTACAAGCTAAATTAAATGACCAAAAATGGTATTGGTCAGAAACCGATACTAATTACATGAAGAAAATAAAGAAAAACTTGAGTAATCCTCCTCTATTACATACTGGGGTTGTGTTTTAAAAGCACTATCTAAAGAAAAAGAGTATATCTGTCGATACGCTTCAAGAAGATTTAATCCTGTTGAAAAGAATTATCACTCAAATGAAATGGAATATCTTGCGGTAATAAAAACCATAAAGAAATTCACCATTTATCTTACTCCTTACAGATTTATCGTTAGGACAGATAAAAAAAACTTCACTTATTTCTTAAAGACCAAGATGAAAGGTGATAGTAAACAAGGTAGACTTGTAAGATGGCAAATGTGGCATAATCAATATGAATTTGATGTGCAACATATTGCAGGAAACAAGAATGTCCTCGCAGACTTTTCATCTCGGGAGTTTAATGACTTTTGATAAAATGTTTACGGGATTAAGGCTCATCAGAGCACATAGCCAGTCACAGGCGGTGATAATAGGGAGTTGCTTCCCAGGCATGATTTGTGCTTGATAAAGCATCATGTATAATGGATGAATTACAACAACTTCACTTGCAAGAAGGACTTCTGGTCCAAGAACTTGAATTGGTTCGTGCCAAAATCAAGTATGTAAGCTTGTTTAAAGCTGAACAAAAAAGAGATTCTACTGTCTCTATTCCAACATTTGAACAAACGAGTAATGTAACAAGCCTAGCTTGTGAACAAAAAGAGGAAATGTTATCTCCTCTAGACCTTATAGATCTTGAAGGTGAAACTAGTCCAGAGAAAATGGCTACTGGTAAGGGCTCATCAAATCCGTTAATAGCTAGCAACTTGCTAAAAAGCGGCAATATGTATTAAATTACCAAAAACGTCAGTTAATTCTGATGGTTTAAACCTTAGTCCGAATGGTGGAACCTCTGTTCTTAAGCAGATAAAATAACTTGACAGTGATAAGGGAATTCAAATCCCAAATAAAAGAGATACAACATATTATGTTGTGATTAATGGCCCAATTGCAGGTATCTATCACGACTAGGAGATTACCAAAAAGGCTACAAATGGTATATTGGGTGTTTCACATAAGAAGTACAAAGGTTTCTTTAAGGCTCGTATTGCAGTGGATCAGTACTCAAGAATAAATGCAATGGCTCCCCTTGAGTTAATTTGCATAGCAGGTGGACTTCAGCCCAACACATTTACTGCGGCCTTGAAGAATCCCAGAAAGCGAGAAAAGCTCCAGACTATTGGAAAACTTTCCAAGAAACAAGAAGCGCAAAAGGAAGAACAGGTCACTCCGGTTCAACTTCCAAAAGAAGGTCTTGAATATTGGATTAAGTTGGCCCGAAACAGTGGTGAAGCAGAAATCCTTACGGACAAATACTTCACAACAAATGGGATTGACTTGATTCTTCAATTTTATAAAAAACACCAATTCAGAAATGGTAATCGAAGCGTTTGACTAAGGGATGGTGAAAACCATATATCCGAGCCAGACTTTGAAGGAACTACAAGAATTACCTCAAAACGTTCTGAAGTCAATCATACAGGAAAAAATGTGTTCACGGAGAAAAGGACATATTCCAAAAAATCACTAGTTCAGTACCCATCTGGATTAATAATAAAATTATCCCGACCAAACATCTAATATTGATAGGGATTAGTTCTGGTGAAAAAATCATTAAGCCAGAAAATGAACAGTTCAAATAAGTCAATCAAGCAATACAGGAAAAAATGTGTTCACGAAGAAAATGACATATTCCTAAAAATCACTAGTTTAGTACCCATCTGGATTAATAATAAAATTATCCCGACCAAACATCTAATATTGATAGGGATTAGTTCTGGTGAAAAATTCATTAAGCCAGAAAATAAACAGTTCAAAGAAGTCAATCTGGATCAAATTGGACTAAATTGTTATGAGCTCCTTGTTGAAAAGGTCATGGAATTCAACACAGACGATAAAGTGTTTGTCAATTATCAATATGAAAATTATTTGATATATTCAATGGCAGTAAAACCAATGACAAGTGATGATGAAAAGAAGATAATTGTATTCCAGAAAAACCTTCTACAAAATTATCATCATCCACAAATCTGTGACAAGATCAAGAAGATAAGAGAAGCACGAGGAAGTGTTTACAGTTGTCCAAGCTGCCCCTGAACATCCAAGGTGGAACCAACCACTTTGAGAAATGAGTTAAGAAATGAAGATTCCTCAACAACGTCTACTTCAACCAGCTCAAAAGGTGAATAATTGAGTTTGTAATGGGATAGGTCTGGAAAAGCAATAAGGCCAGAAGCTTCTCGGTGAAGTGCGAACCAATTGCGATTCCACGTTAGGAATGACGTAAAACATTTTGTATCGATCCTCATCATTAGTCTATAAAAGGATGAGTTACATTTTCAATAAGGATCATCGAAAATTTAGACAAGAGTCGAGCCCAGAGTTTTTATCTTCTACAATGTATGAGTAGTAAAAGGTTCCTTCATAGGAACTTGAGATTGTAATTAGAGGCTGGGATGAACATTTAGTTTTCATACCAGAACTCTTGTAAAAACAATTTGAGTTTGAATAAAATATCTAGTTTTCTTGTACTCATATCAAAGATCAAATCCTGGAGGCTAATTTACCGATCGAAATGAAGAAGTGCCAGAAAGGGAAAAAATACCTGTGGCGCGGCTTGGAATCGATCGTATACAGAGGCATAAAAACAGACATAGATGTATACAACTTATTCAAACAATAAAACATTGTACAAGTAGTTCTTTGAATACTATAGTCATATCCTGAATAGCTTCCTGATAAGCAGTTTTAGTTTCTAAGAAAGGAATTTCAAATTTATTGAAAAAGGTTTTCAAAACCAAAAACTGAACATGTCTAACTGATAAAAGGAAAAATCTTTCAATAAAAATAATTTCTTCAAATGAAAAATTATGATTTCTGGCATTTGCCAATAAGTATGACTTATAGAGAGAGAAACACTTCAACGTAAACAATTAAGAGATTTTCATAATTTTTTAAAAGTTTATCAATGAAGATATGAAGTCGTAGAACTTGACTATCAAAGGGTATCACCTGAAAAAAGAATGAACACCATAAGAACTCATGGTTTCAGATTAAATAATATGATGGCCTTAATTACTTCTACTTAGGAGTCAACTAAGAAAGCAGAAAAACAAGCATCCCTTTTGGGTGCTGCCTAGTTCAAAAATTTGTTTGAGTATTAAAACTCTAGCCTACTATGGAAAACAATGATTTTTGGCACCTGCCAGTAAGAGTAGTGTTTTCAGATATAAACTGTCTCAAAACACTAAGAAAGCAAATACTTCGATTAACAATTGGGTTAAGAGAAGAAGAACAAAACTTGAATAATTATATGCAAGTTTATAGTTCTACATCTGTAGAAATGAAACTAGCAACTATGAGAACCTATATTGACAATGTCAATAGAGTGGTTTCTCTCATTCTTGCATTAAAGAAGTCTATAAAAAAAAGCACAATAGCAAAACTCAGTTCTTATGGCTTAAAATGAGTTACTCTGATAACTTGTATACATTCCGCACGGGAGTCAGCCCATATAAAAATCCTAGTATCAGAGCCATGGATAAAAGAAAAATCCTATCGGATAATAGATCTTTTGATCAATATTTTTCGAGTTCGTTTTCCAATGCGGAATTAAAATTCAGAATGGGGAATACCAGTATTCGTGATCCCATCTTAAAGTAGAGGCAGCTGGAAAACCTGTTTGGAATATGAATTCCAATACGGATAAAGAAAACAAAAACATAGAATAAGATCTATGTTCTAATAGTGATCTTTCACTAATTTCATTTAATGAAGATGAAAAATGTTTTAAAGCCAGTTTGGCAATAAAACATGATGTTTTAACTAAGATTCAGAAATCAAAGTTAAATCTCAAAAAAGAAGAAGTTTTTAACATCCCAATGTTAAATTTCTTAAAAAGAAAAAATGAAATTTTCTATTTTGTCAACACGCAAGAGTTTCATGTAGACATAAGAGATGTTAAATGAACCGTACACCTGCCTTTAATTACTAAAGCAGAAATAAGAAAAAATTTGGAAAAAAATTCTATCTCTTATAAGAAACAAAATTTCAACAATTCATCTAGGAGCAATAAAAATTTTGCTTAAAGCTGAATTTCAAGAAGGGAATGATATTCCTATAAAAATGGCAATAATTGATGATAGAATTAATGACAGAAAGGACTGTATCTTAGGAGCAGCAAGAGGAAATCTTGATTATGGTAAGTTTATCTTCACAGTTTATCGTAAATTTTGTATGTCCCTTCAAACTGCAAATTTATATAGAACCTTATCTTTCATTCACCATTTTGAAAGAGAAAATTTAATGAACTCTGGAGACAAAGTTTTTATTGTTACATATGTTATAAGCTATGGTTTGAATTATAGTCATCATAGTATAGATTATAGGAAAAAATCTTACATTGAACTAGAAGATATCTTTTCAGATAGCGGATTAGTAGAAGAAAAAATCTTCCGTGAGTTAGCACCTCTAGAAGAACATTGGGCTACTGATATAGCTAAAGGAAAAACCTTAATAGGAAATAAAAATCCTATGCAGATTAATGAAATCTCCTTGATTGTAGGAGAATGAAGTAGACTATCAGTCTCAAAGAAATGTTCCCTAGCCGATATGTAAGAAAGAATAGATAATTTATTTGGTATGTTAAGACAGTTAACTTCGTGATAAAAAATTATATTAGATAACGAAAATGCATTCATTATACTATAGAAAAAACGAAAGAACATTCGTTATATCAAAAAAGGGTATTTATCACTTTTCATTTGTCTCATTTTATGAAAAGGTTAAAAACACAACAAACAACAAGGAGGGTCATTCACCCAAAATATTTGTTCGACTAGGCCTTTTATATTTATTAATATTTATTATGGCATATTTATATATTATGCTAGGTACGTACATATATATTGGAAATTGCACTTTTTATGCGAGAAGCCAATTATGGTTAAAAAGTGATAATGCATTTTCTAATAAGTTCGTATTTCCAAATTCCAGTCTAATATCACTAACAATAACATAAGACCATGTTTTCGAGCACAAACGAAAGTCGGATGTGCTTTGTTCCCAGATATCTCGAATCGAACAAAATTATATAAAATACAAATGAATATTATAATCCAATAAGTACATGTCTAAAAAACAAAAAGTGATACGATAAATAGGAATTAAATTTCCGCTTGATTGTAGAAAGACATATTATTTCGCAAAATTGTTCGTTTAAGCACATATGTATCTTGTCGTCCGATTTGATCGGTATTAAAAGGAGTAGCTGTTATCGAACACCTTCGTTCGCAATAATTTGGGGTCGGGAAAAAAAAACACATAATGCAATACTGATAACAGTAACGGAGCCGATGATGTGCCGACAATATACGTTACACAAAGTGTGGCCCATTCTTATCATATCATCCATGCTGTAAAGGCTGTTGAAATTTTTCTCTTTTTCAGGTTGTTGAAAATTCACGAGTGAGGCCCATTCTATCATCTCACCCATGTTGTGTGTACCACGTGTAAAGCCTATTGAATCTTTTTTTTTTTTTTTTTTTTTTTCTGACAGAGGAAAACCACAACCTCTATATCTGTAGCCTCTTTTGTCTATTCACATTGAAAGCATCAGTAATACAGGCGAGATTCCCGGTACAGCATGCTAAACTGGAAAAAAAGATTAATAATAATAATAAAAGAAAACTTGTTGTGAAGAAGACGCGGGAAGTAGTGAGAAGACGCGGGAAGTATTGTGACCGTGCATGGTATTCCTCCTATATTAATGACCCTTTTTGTTGTTTCTTTTACTTTCACCAAACCATCAGACCAGTAAAAAAAAATTAACAAAAGAATTTTTTTTAAAAAAATTAATATGGAAGCTCCTTTGTGCTCTTGTGGCAGGGGTCGTATGATCCTTTTAATGACAAGAACTGAAAAAAACTACGAAAAATATTTTTTTTGTTGTCCAGCTCGTCAACAACACCACCGGTGTTTCATTTGAGCGGACGATGTTCACCGTCAATATTCTTCACAAGCAAGTCAGAGTACATTCCAGAATGATCACGGTAATTCATCACAAACAACTGCAGATAGCGTGCATGCAACAGAATACTGTGAAACCGCTAGCACACGGAAGCGACCAGTGACGAACAGCTCGGCGATAACTGATTCGTCATTAATGTTAATCGCGTGCCCGATATGTTGTTTACTTTTAGTTTTTGTCCTTGGCATTTTCTGTTGTATAGCCATTGTCAAAATTTTGAGCCTGTAATTCTGGAATTGATTTCATGGTTCTTTGTTTATTAGTTAATTTATTCTAATATATGTTCTGCCCAATACTGAACCCCGTTGAAGGTCATGCACTTCATTTTTTGTGAATAAAAATTGTCCAGTACGGTTGCAAGGAGGGCCCAAGTTCACAATTTTTTTTATATTATCATGTTCCAATTATTGGTTGCAATTTATGTCACCCAAAAATTAATCCTGCTACACAAATAATGGAGGGTCCCACTTAATTTGTGTGGAATATCAGATTTCAAACCAGAAACTGTCAGATTATCTCAACAGTGCAAAATCAGATTTAATCCAAGCATACTCTTAATGCGCTTTTTAGGTGTATTAACTTATGCTTCAGATTATATTCTTAAATTGACTAGTATAAGAGCTCTATTACAAGCTAAATTAAAGGAGGACCAAAAATGGTATTGGTCAGAAATCGATACTGATTACATGAAGATAATAAAGAAAAACTTGACTAATCCTCCTTTATTACATACTGGGGTGGTGTTTTAAAAGCACTATCTAAAGAAAAAGAGTATATTTGTCAATATGCTTTAGGAAGATTTAATTCTGTTGAAAAGAATTATCACTCAAATGAAATGGAATATCTTGCGGTAATAAAAACCATAAAGAAATTCACAATTTGTCTTACTCCTTACAGATTTATCGTTAGGACAAATAATAAAAACTTCACTTATTTCTTAAAGACCAAGATGAAAGGTGATAGTAAACAAGGTAGACTTGTAAGATGGCAGATGTGGCATAATCAATATGAATTTGATGTGCAACATATTGCAGGAAACAAGAATGCCCTCGCAGACTTTTCATCTCGGGAGTTTAATGACTTTTGATAAAATGTTTACAGGATTAAGGCTCATCAGAGCACATAGCCAGTCACAGGCGGTGATAATAGGGAGTTGCTTCCCAGGCATGATTTGTGCTTGATAAAGCATCATATATAATGGATGAATAACAACAACTTGCAAGAAGGACTTCTGGTCCAAGAACTTGAATTGGTTCGTGCCAAAATCAAGTATGTAAGCTTGTTTAAAGCTGAACAAAAAAGAGATTCTACTGTCTCTATTCCAACATTTGAACAAACGAGTAATGTAACAAGTCTAGCTTGTGAACAAAAAGAGGAAATTTCATCTCCTCCAGATCTTATAGATCTTGAAGGTGAAACTAGTCCAGAGCAAACGGCTACTGGTAAGGACTCATCAAATCCGTTAATAGCTAGCAACGTGCTAAAAGCGGCAATATGTATTAAATTACCAACAACGTCAGTTAATTCTGATGGTTTAAGCCTTAGACCGAATGGTGGAACATTTGTTCCTAAACAAATAAAATCACTTGACAGTGATAAGGGAATTCAAATCCCAAATAAAAGAGATACAACATATTATGTTGTGTTCAATGGCCCAATTTCAGGTATCTATCAAGACTGGGAGATTACCAAATAGGCTACAAATGGTATATCGGGTGTTTCACATAAGAAGTACAAAGGTTTCTTTAAGGCTCGTATTGCAGCGGATCAGTACTCAAGAATAAATGCAATGGCTCCCCTTGAGTTAATTTGCATAGCAGGTGGACTTCAGCCCAACACATTTACTGCGGCCTTGAAGAAGCCCAGAAAGCGAGAAAGGCTCCAGACTATTGGAAAACTTTCCAAGAAACAAGAAGCCCAAAAGGAAGAAAGGCCACTCCGGTCCAACTTCCAAAAGAAGGTCTTGAATATTGGATTAACTTGGCCAGAAATAGTGGTGAAGCAGAAATCCTTACGGACAAATACTTCACACAAATGGGAAGGACTTGAGATTCTTCAATTTTATAAAAAACACAAATCCAGAAATGGTAATCGAAGCGTTTGACTATGGGATGGTGAAAACCATATATCCGAGCCAGACTTTGAAGGAACTACAAGAATTACCTCAAAACGTTCTTAAGTCAATCAAGCAATACAGGGAAAAAAGTGTTCACGGAGAAAAGGACGTATTCCTAAAAATCACTAGTTCAGTACCCATCTGGATTGATAATAAAATTATCCCGACAAAACATCTAATATTGATAGGGATTAGTTCTGGTGAAAAATTCATTAAGCCAGAAAATAAACAGTTCAAAGAAGTCAATCTGGATCAAATTGGACTAAATTGTTATGAACTCCTTGTCGCAAAGGTCATGGAATTCAACACAGACGATAAAGTGTTTGTCAATTATCAATATGGAAATTATTTGATATATTCAGAGGCAGTAAAACCAATGACAAGTGATGATGAAAAGAAGATAATTGTATTCCAGAAAAACCTTCTGCAAAATTATCATCATCCACAAATCTGTGACAAGATCAAGAAGATAAGAGAAGTACGAGGAAGTGTTTACAGTTGTCCAAGCTGCTCCTCAACATCCAAGGTGGAACCAACCACTTTGAGAAATGAGTTAAAAAATGAAGATTCCTCAACAACGTCTACTTCAGCCAGCTCAAAAGGTGAATAATTGAGTTTGTAATGGGATAGGTCTGGAAAAGCAAGAAGGCCAGAAGCTTCTCGGTGCACGTTAGGAATGACGTAAAACATTTTGTATCTATCCTCATTCGTTAGTCTATAAAAGGATGAGTTACATTTTCAATAAGGATCATCGAAAATTTAGACAAGAGTCGAGCCCAGAGTTTTTATCTTCTACAATGTATGAGTAGTAAAAGGTTCCTTCTTAGGAACTTGAGATTGTAATTAGAGGCTAGGATGAACATTTAGTTTTCACACCAGAACTCTTGTAAAAACAGTTTGAGTTTGAATAAAATATCCAGTTTGCTTGTACTCATATCAAAGATCGAATCCTGGAGGCCAAGTTACCGATCGAAGGGAAGAAGTACCAGGAAGGGAAAAAATACCTGTGGGACGAGCTTGGAATCGATCGTATACGGAGGCATAAAAATAAACATAGATAATACAACTTATTCAAACAATAAAACAGTGTACCTGTAGTTCTTTGAATACTATAGTCATATCCTGAATAGCTTCCTGATAAGCAGTTTTAGTTTCTAAGAAAGGAATTTCAAATTTATTGAAAAAGGTTTTCAAAACCAAAAATTGAACAAGTCTAACTGATAAAAGGAAAAATCTTTCAATAAAAATAATTTCTTCAAATGAAAAATTATGAATTCTGGCATTTTCCAATAAGTATGACTTATAGAGAGAATGACTTATAGAGAGAGAAACGCTTCAGCGTAAACAATTAAGAGATCTTCATACCTTGTTAGAAGTTTATCATTGAAGATATGAAGTCATAGAACTTGACTATCAAAGGGTATCACCTGAAAATAGAATGAACACCATTCAGACTAAATAATATGATGGCCTTAATTACTTCTACTCAGGAGTCAACTAAGAAAGCAGAAAAACAAGCATCCCTTTTGGGTGCTACCTAGTTCATAGATATGTTTGAGTATTAAAACTCTAGCCTACTATGGAAAACAATGATTTTTGGCACCTGCCAGTAAGAGTAGTGTTTTCTGATATAAACTGTCTCAAAACACTAAGAAAGCAAATACTTTGATTAACAACTGGGTTAAGCGAAGAAGAACAAAACTTGAATAATTATATGCAAGTTTAAAGTTCTACATCTGTAGAAATGAAACTAGCAACTATGAGAACCTATATTGACAATGTCAATGGAGTGGTTTCTCTCATTCTTGCGTTAAAGAAGTCTATAAAGAAAGCAAAATAGCAAAACTCAGTTCTTATGGCTTAAAATGAGTTACTCAGATAACTATACATTCCGCACGGGAATCAGCCCGTATAAAATCCTGGTATTAGAGCCATGGATAAAAGAAAAATCCTATCGGATAATAGATCTTTTGATCAATATTTTCCGAGTTCGTTTTTCAATACGGAATTAAAATTCAGAATGGGGAATACCAGTATTGTGATCCCATCTTAAAGTGGAGGCAGCTGGAAAACCTGTTTGGAATATGAATTCCAATACGGATAAAGAATACAAAAACATAGAACAATCTGTGTTCTAATAATAGTGACCTTTCACAAATTTCATTTAATTTTAAAGCCAGTTTGGCAATAAAACATGATGTTTTTAAAAATATGATGTTTTAACTAAGATTCAGAAATCAAAGTTAAATCTCAAAAAGAAGAAGTTTTCAATATCCCAATGTTAAATTTCTTAAAAAGAAATAATAAAATTTTCTATTTTGTCAACACGCAAGAGTTTCATGTAGACATAAGAGATGTTAAAGGAGCCGTACACCTGCCTCTAATTACTAAAGCAGAAATACGAAAAAATATGGAAAAAATTCCATCTCTTATAAGAAACAAAATTTCAACAATTCATCTAGGAGCAATAAAAATTTTGCTTAAAGCTGAATTTCAAGAAGGGAATGATATTCCTATAAAAATGGCAATAATTGATGATAGAATTAATGACAGAAAGGACTGTATCTTAGGAGCAGCAAGAGGAAATCTTGCTTATGGTAAGTTTATCTTCACAGTTTATCCTAAATTTTGTATGTCTTTTCAAACTGCAAATTTAGATAGAACTTTATCTTTCATTCACCATTTTAAAAGAGAAAATCTAATGAACACTGGAGACAAAGTCTTTATGGCATGATTGGTATGAAGGAATGACATGGGAATGGAATGATCATTCCCTTCCTCATTCCTATTTCCATGATTGGTATATTTTTTGGGAAGGAATGACCAATCCAATGGGAATGGCAAAACCCATTTTCATGGGCTTAGCCATCCATACTAAATGGAAGGTTTTCTCATTCCCATGTGTGTAGGAATCAATTTTTCAAAAAATAAAATTAACAAATAATAATATTTAATAAATATATAATATATAATATAAATCATGATTAAAATATATTAAATAAAATTATTTTTAAAAAAAAAATCAAATAAAAAAAATTAAAAACTTACTTTTATTTATTTTTTAATTAGATATATTAAATACTTATATAAAAATAAAACTAAAAAAAGCATT